GATAATATAAATAACATATATATAAAGTTTGTTTGTCGACCCAGGCCGGATGACAGAGATGATGGAATTTCGGTCGCAGAAAGTCCATTTCGGCTAATCATTTCTGTCGCAACCTGAGACGCGGACCTCGACCCGGTAAAGATAAAATTGTTTCTTTCAAAAACAGCACTAGTTCAGTACTGCAACTTTTCGTCCTTTGTCCTGATTTTACAACTGATCAGTGCTATCGTGGCTCTTGCTCAGTACTGCTAAAGTGCTGTTTTTATACTGCTGGATCACTGAAACAGTACTGATTTTAATTCACAGACCAATAGGGGCTGTTCCATTTGTAAAATTTTTGAAGTATCCAGAGTATAATTTATAGACACATGTTTCTCCATGCACTCTATGCTCTCTATGCACTCATGTTTCTCCATTTCAATGCATACTCCCCTGATCTCATTATTAATCGTCATCTATCATTCCTTCCATTCGCTATATTATAATTGATCAAATGTCGGTTTAAGGCTCATTTCTCTCAGGCGTTCTAATAGCGATCGAGAGAGAGAGAGAGTTGACTGATTTATAGCAGATTTTGAGTGAAACTGATTTCTATTGTTAGTTTGACAATGACGGGATGCGGAATGTTCGGAATGTTTCGTTGCTAATTGAGTGTTTGAAGCAGCATTCAAAAACCCTTTATTTTTCGCGCGCTTTTTGATCAGCTCATACGGTGCTTTGTTCTGATTGGCCAGATTATTTAGAAAGACGTTGTCAATCTTTTCCATGTAATTAATGAATGTCCTAATTGATGCTACAACAAATTCCTCATCATACTCACTAGGGGCTATTGCCAATCCAACCGGATTTCGGGACATGTAGTCAATTAATCACATTTTACTTCCTGCGAGCTGTTTCATGTCGAAATGGAAGGAATTAATCGGTCAATCCAACGTGCGAGCCGGCTTTGACTTGCTTTTGATCTTTCGCGTCTGTTTAAAGCGGTTATTAAAGCTTGGTGATCAGTGATGACGGTGAAATGTTTTCCATACAGATAGTATTTAAAATGTTCGATTGCCCACACGACCCCTAATAGTTTGAGTTCTTTTACAGAAAATTTTTCCTCAAATGAGTTTAAAAAACGTGACGCGTAAGCTACGGCGACCCAACCTTCTGACGAATGTTGTTCCAGTGCAGCTCCTAATACTGTAATAGAAGCATTGCATACGATTCGAGTGTCAAGATGTTGGTCAAAATGTTTGTTTTGTGTTTTTTCAGCTATCAGTTTTAATATGTTTTTGAACGTTGTCCTATGCTCTGTGGACGGGTCAAGTGGTTTGTTTTCTTCTGTCTTCTGTGTTTTTTAGTAATGGGCGTAGAGTGGCAGCGGTTTGTGCCAATTTTGGTATATATTGCGTGAGATGATGTATGGAACCCATAAAGCTTTTTAGTTGTTTAAACGTTTTTGGTGGTGATAGATTTTCGATGGCCTCAGTATTTCTTATAAGAAATTTTTTTCCCTCGCTATTAACTGTGAACCCTAACTACTCAGTTTGTTTGCATGCAAACTTGCATTTATCCAATGATATCGCAAGATTTTTTCTCGTCCAGTTTTTTTCAGAGCTGATTGCAACTTTTGTTTGTGTAGATCCAAAGATCCTTTTGTTACGATTAGAATATCGTCCAAATAGGCATAGGTGCTCGTACAATTTGTAAGAGGTAGATCGATCGCTTTTTGGAATTCAGCTACCAAATCCGTGAGGCCATAAAATCCTGTTTGAAATTGATAGGTCCCAATGGCGTTAACACTAATAGGATAAAGTTGCTTTTTTCTCTGGTTGTTTTATCCAAAAGGATTTGAGAATATGCGTAGCGGAGGTCGAGTGTTGAGAATACTGTTTGTTTGGATTTGTCTGATTTTACCACCTGTGCAATATTGTCCAACAGCAATTCAATGTTGGGCATTTGGTATTTGTTTTTGTGGATGATTTTTTTGATTATCTTCTAACGCGAGTTTGACTGTTTGATCCTTTTTGACTGTTATGACAATTAGGCAAGTAGGTTGTCGATCTGAACATTTATCTAGTTTGATAATGTGGTTCTGATTCATCAGTTTGTTTAATTTCCCTTAAACTCTTTCCTGTAGAATCTAACGCGAGTTTGACTGTTTGATCCTTTTTGACTGTTATGACAATTAGGCAAGTAAGTTGTCGATCTGAACATTTATCTAGTTTGATAATGTGGTTCTGATTCATCAGTTTGTTTAATTTCCCTTCAACTCTTTCCTGTAGGTGCATCGGGATACGTCGTCCTTTCTGTTGTATTTGCATGAAGTCGTGGTTGAATTGAGTTTTCATCATGTGATTTTTCGATTTTCCGATACGTATGCACAATTGTTGAAAATTATCTTCGACCCATTGTTGACCCACTGTTTAATTTCTGGATCCGATTCTTCTTCTTCGCGTACGCTTAACACATTTTGTTTACGTTTTTCTTGTATCAACCTGACACCTATTTGTGGTAGTATGTTGCGTCCTATTATGTTGGCCTCTTGATCATCCACAATGATAAACAGGGCTGATTGAATTTTCGAGCCTCCTGATTGAATGGTTATAATCAATCTTTCTTTTGGATTTATTGTTTCACCATTATAGCATGCCAGATTCTTGGCCGTGTCGTCTGGTGGGATGCATTTGAGTAATGCTCATTTATCGTTTTGTTGAAGGCGCCGTGCAGTTTTTTCATTTAGAAACGACATTGTACTTCCCGAATCAGCAATAGCGAATAATTCTTCCGAATTTGTTTTTAGTTTAACAATATGACCGTTAAGGTCATCCTCCGATAGGATAATTTTATTTTTTCAGCGATTGAATTTAAGCGATCTGTATTGGATTCAGCGGTTGCCATAACCGAGAATTTGTCTATTTGGTATTCATCCCATCCGTTATTTGATGTAAGCTCGGCAAAAGCCATCGGGTCGTTTTCAGTTTCCAGACTCCCCGTCTCTATTTCTTCCTGTTGTTCATCCTGTCGGTTTCCTAAACAATTAACGTTTGTGGATCTGCAAATTTTTGCAAAATGGCCTCGTTTTGCACATTGTGAACAAATTTTGTCTTTAGCCGGACAAGATTGAAGATGATTTTGATTGTGTTGATTTCCGCATTTATAACTTTGTTTCGAAGTTTGCATTATTTTTTTTTTGTTGTTCTCTTTTGTTTTGTGATCCACGTTGATATGGTTGTCCGCGAAAACCGCCCTGACCTCTTTGTTAGTTTTGGTAGTTTGAATAGTTGTATCGACCACCCCGTGTGTTGATATAATGTACTGGTTCTTGTTTCGTTGTAGATTGTCCCCCGAACGGGTTTATCTTCATGGTACGGCTGCGTTTGATTCCTTTTTCCCGACGGATTGCATATTCATATGCCTCTTGTGGGGACCGTGTTTGTGCTAATAGTTCCTCTGTGATTTTTTCATTGCTCATGTGTGCTGTAAACATGTCTCTAACCCATTCATCTTCTCTGTCCCCACAATCAGCCCGTGAGGCTAATTCAACTAGGTCTGCATGAAATTTTTCAAGACTCTCCGATTTCTTTTGTTTATGGCAAATAAAGTTATATCTTTCGAATGCTACAATTCTGTTAGTGACAAATATATCTTCCAGCGTTGTCATAAATTCTTGTGTGGTTACGTTGTGTAATACAAGGCCAGGTCTTTTCTGTTGAACTTGTCATTGACATTCGGCTCCCAAACTGAAAAAGGTAACTACGGACTCTTGTGTCTGCTTCGTCCCACCTATATGAATTACATAAAACTCCTTTCTCCCGTGCTTTTATGACGTGATCCTCACAACCAACTCGTTTCTCCTGATTGCGCACCTCTCGGTTTTTTCTTTGTGCCTCTGTTTCGCCCGTTATTTCAACTTCATACACGGGTTCTGCGGGTTTTAACGAGTGTTGGTCTGGCTCTCAATAAATTCCGTATTTCAATCCCATCCTTTGCAAATACAGCCATCTCCAAATGGCTGCCCACTTTGACCATTCTAGTGGTGGTTTGGCAGACGCTCTCTCCCAAAATGGGTTAATATTCAGTGGGTTTTTGGAATATTCTGCTGGCTGCGCCATGTCATACCGCAGGGTGTGATATTCTAATTCTTGAATCCGAATGGATCGATAAACCTTGTTTCTCAGTCAGAGCGATATAAAACGACTTGTTGACATATAACTTTCAACTCTGATTCTTATTTCAAATAGAGTTCGTCTTCTCTGTCTATCAAGGTCAAAAAACCGGCCGTCTAGGCGTTTAACATAAGACTATAGATAATATAAATAACATATATATAAAGTTTGTTTGTCGACCCAGGCCGGATGACAGAGATGATGGAATTTCGGTCGCAGAAAGTCCATTTCGGCTAATCATTTCTGTCGCAACCTGAGACGCGGACCTCGACCCGGTAAAGATAAAATTGTTTCTTTCAAAAACAGCACTAGTTCAGTACTGCAACTTTTCGTCCTTTGTCCTGATTTTATCACTGATCAGTGCTATCGTGGCTCTTGCTCAGTACTGCTAAAGTGCTGTTTTTATACTGCTGGATCACTGAAACAGTACTGATTTTAATTCACAGACCAATAGGGGCTGTTCCATTTGTAAAATTTTTGAAGTATCCAGAGTATAATTTATAGACACATGTTTCTCCATGCACTCTATGCTCTCTATGCACTCATGTTTCTCCATTTCAATGCATACTCCCCTGATCTCATTATTAATCGTCATCTATCATTCCTTCCATTCGCTATATTATAATTGATCAAATGTCGGTTTAAGGCTCATTTCTCTCAGGCGTTCTCTCAGGCGTTCTCTCAGGCTTCACTAGATGATATAGTTATTACCAATATCTTATACTAGTCTACAAATTTGTGAGCCTGAAAACATTTTATTATTATGCTTATTATTTGCTATTTTTGATATACGCATCCTAGAAGACTTGTCCCTAAAGAATAACTGTTTCTTCGTATAAAAAGAAATCGGAAAAAAGTCAAAGTAGACCTGATATTTCAAATTTTCAAATCATATTGTCAAATTTAAAGCTTCGTTCGAATATTTATATGACCTAGTTGTTAATCTTGGAAAGCATCTGTTTTCCATAGCTTAGGCGGTTTCGAGTCTTTTCCACTCTTGCTTGGAGCCCTTTTTCCTCGGTAGTCCATGTATTTTGTTTGCCATATGTGTTTCCCGGTCTCCAATTCGCTGGCGCTAATCTCACGATAGAAATCATCCACCTCTTCGAGACTGAAGTTTGGATTGGAGGCCGTGAATACTTTTTGCTTCTTCTGTTTCATTTCACGCATCTGCTCAAGGTGTGAAACGGACTTTGCCTCGCCCACTTGCTCCTCGTTTTCAGCAGAAATATCTGAATCCGGGCTTTTGGACTTCAGTGATTTGGAGCGTGCTGCCGATTCTGAACTGGAGAGACTAGTTTGACTAGTTTGCAATTGGTCCCTGAGTATCCTGGCAAGTCTTTCTGCTTCCATTTTATCAAGAACACTTTGAGTTGCCTGTTGCTCCTGCATCATTTGACGAAGAATCGCACGGTACGATTCCCACTCGTAAAAACGTTTTTCGTCTAGACTCAGAACACTGTCGTCTACAACGCCACTTTTGATTGCCATTTTTCTCTTAATGCGATGAACCTTCTTCTCGATTTTTTCGTTTGTTCGTTTTTCAATCTGTTCTCGTTTTTGTTTCATACGATTTAGCCGGTTAAATAGTTTATTCAGACGGTTCAAAGCAACCATAGAGGTGAACAAATTACCCCCAGATTGTCTAACTTTAGCCAGCATTTTCCATTCAAGTGAGTTTTCCTGGAATTTCATCATAGAAATTTTAGACTTTCCATCGAGATACTTCTGGACTACCTTGCCCCAAGTAATCCAAGCTCGCTCTAGCATCAATATAATTCCGGCCACAATAGCGAAAATATCCCAAATAGTTGCCGAGTAGAACCGGTCCGATTCCCGAAGATATCCGTCTTTCCAACTGTAGACGACTTCTACCGGTCGAAAATCGGCTTTCAGACTTTCGCTGATGTTAACTCGCGAAATGTAAGTCTCAGTTCGAATGTCTACGCCCCGAATCACGCCTTCCACTTTCATGACTGACTCTGTCATTAGGGTTTTTACTCGGAACCCTCTTGCGTAGAATTTCCAGTGGAGAGTCTGGATCACCTCGAGAAGAAAATCAAATTTGTCAGAGGTTTCCAGGCTTTCAGTGAGTTTTGAGAAACTAGGATGTTCAGCAATCCATGACCCTGATTCGCCTTCTTGTAGTCTAAAATTAGCAATTTTTCATTTACGCGAATACGCTGAGGGAATTTCGTTGCGAGGATTGAGGCCGTCACTTTGTTTTTTGGTCTCTGCTTAAAACGTATAATGATCATATTTTCATAAATATATTGGTGCAACGCCTGCAATTTTTTGTCTATTTTTAAGCAACTTTGGAAGATCACAATTATTTTTTAATTTTTGCGCGCTCCTCCTTCAAATTGTGTGCATCTGCTTATCTCCTAGGTCACATAAAAAACATGAAAAATTTGAAAAAACGGGCCTACAGTGCCATTTGTGGAATGTTTTCACCAATAAGTTACGAAAATGGCGTCGAAGGTTGCTTTCATCTTTTTTGTTGAATTGGCTAAAATTGATTGTCGGAAAATAATGCCAAAGGGGTGCTGAGGGGTGTCAAATTTCTGAGGGAAAAAAGCGGAGCCTACACCGCTCACTCACCCCCCTTCCCCCATCACACTCCCCCTAAACCCGCTACTGATTAATATCATTAAAATAAGAAAAACTTTTAAAAAGAAAGAGAACACACTTCTATATCTTTTCTGGTTAAAATAAAAAAGCGTGCAAGCGAAGCTAGTTCAACTCTTTAGCTAGTTAAAAACGCAGGGCGGGTCTAGGACTTTCTCGAGGAAGAGAGAGGGGGGGGGGGGGTCGGTTTTCCAATAAAATTTCGAAAATTTGGTCAAACAAACTGATTTTCTGAACTCTCCCAAATCACTCTTTAGACTCTTTTTCGCCTACCAAACTGTCTTTGCGAATTTTTGAAAACTCAGGTGAAAAACTATTTTTGGCAGTTTTTGGAAATTTATGGAATTTTGAAAGCTAATGATTAAACAGAAATCTTTTATCACGTATTTTCAACTTAAATGATAACCTTTTAATTACATGCAGGTTTCCACCGTGGATTGTTGCTATTCTTACGAAAACCTTTGAAAACTTTGGTTTACTAATTATTTTTTTGAGGCACCTCATTAGTCACTTTTAGGATTTACTTAAGGAATTGCAGCTTTGCTGACTACCCCTGCTCGAATCTAAAAATTTAATGAATTTGAAAGTGCCTTTCCTGAAGTTTTACGGCCATATCCTGAATGTCATACACAAGTCCTCATGATATATCTTTCGGAGCCGAACTGTCACCAACAGAAGAAAAAGAGCGCCTTTATCGCATTTGAATACAGTTGAATGCACGCAACTGGTATTTTAATGACAAGACAATAATGAGTGCGTATCGAGTTAAATTAGAGGATAAGAATGCTCATACCTCAAAGAAGCAAATACGTAGTTTTTCTCAGCAAAATCGGAAGGTCCCTTTATTATAATCAGGGAGAGGGGTTCATTCTTCTGTCCTGCCACACTCGCATCGCCTTCAATCATTGAGTTGAAAACTTCACAGTCCTGTTCAGATTCTTGGCCATCAGGTAAGGATGTTGTGTAAGTAGTGGGCTCAAGACATTTAGTTTCCACTTGGTCTTCAAGGCATTGGTACAAATCAGTACAGTAATCACTCTGAATTCCAGTTAGAAAGCATTCCATCACACCTGAACACTCACTCTCAAGAGCGTTTTCTTCATCCAAGCAAGCCAAAAAATGCCCACACGATTGCTGAAGAACGACAGGTCCTCCCAAACATTCTATTGTAGTCAAACAGGGTTCCTGTTCACGCAATGGATTCATGGGGATGAAGCACTGTTCAAAGAGATGTCCATTGTCACAGGAGGAGGGTTCATTTGAACACTCCCAAATTCCTTGACACTTGCCTTCGCAAAAATCAAGGTCATCGAATGAGTCTCGTTTTTCACGCTGTCTTCGTTTCTCTTCATCCTCTTGGATACAAGAACCTGCGCCGGTAACAGTAGTCGCTATATTTTTTGATAACCAGTCTGGTAACAAATCTAGCACTTCCTGATAGTTCGACAATTCGGATAAAGGAATCTGGAAGATAGTGGAAGACTCGTTGCAGACGTCTTGAATCCGACCACGGTTGTCGTTCGGGTCCAGTTCTGGGAAGTCTGAGTCTTGCGGTTCTGGTTCTAATCTGAAGCTGCTTGCGATGCAAGAATAGGTTGAGATGCCATTGGCGAGAAACAACACTGCTGGTGGCTCGTACTGCTTAACCTGAAAAACGAGATTGCGTGGCCTATTTAGCTAAAACTATCATATTTTGCTGAAATTTTTGTAGGTGAAAAAGCAAATTTTGATATATTGACACAACAGAAAAAGTAAGGTTAACTTCAAATGGAGAAAAAAATATAAAACGTTTATAAACAGTTTATCTTTGAAGCCACAAAACAGTACTTGTGAAAAGTTTCCCTTCAAAGACTTTATTTGATCAACCATTATTTGAATTTCGAGAACCCGCATTTATTAAAAAGAAGGTTGATCATGCCCATAATAGATTACTGCAATAGCTTGTACGTTGCTCTACCGAACTACCTAATCGTGAAACTCCAGCGTGTACTCCGCTTGTATTTTTGTTTTCATGATTTCAATGTCCATTAACATAACCGTTTTTCTCCCAGTTACCCGTCGTGAAAAGAGTTAAATTCAAATTTCTACTCTTTGTTCACATTTGAATACGCTGACTTGATAAATTTCCAGGATATGGGCTCCAAGACTTGTCGTACCGAAAGTCAAAAGTCAAGATGGACAAAGAATTTTTCACTTCAGCGGCTCCAAATTTTGAAAAGGCTTATCTATTGAAATTCGAATGTTTTTTTTTTACTCAAGTTTCCTCCAAAAAAAACGTTGAAAACCCATATGTTGAGGTAAAGAAAAAAATTGTTCAACTGGTTGACAGACAAGTGTAGTTTCCAGTTTGAAGAAAAGAAAGTGTAGCCAAAAAAGTGCTCAGTATATTTTTAAAGAAACGTGAGAATTTATTAAATGAACGTTATATCATTGATCAAAAAAATCGGGTCTCATTGAACTAATTGAATACTTGGTTCATCTCTAGTGATTGGTGTAAATCTATCTGATACTGACTATTATGCTGTGACAATGTTTCACAAAATTTTTACTTTCAAAGTGTAGTCGTTATGGCGGGGAAATAGTTCGTTTCTCGTAGTTATGGCGGGGAGATTAGTTTAACTGATAGAAACAGTACTTTATGAATGAAGGCGCTGTTGTTAAAGAGATGGTGTTTTTGGTGGAATCCATTGAGAAAAAAACTCAATTATTTCATCAACTGGCCGCAGAGGCATCAGAAACACTATTCGAAGACTCAATCCATGTTACAGGCGTTTGGCTGCACACTACAACCTACAATTCGTAAAAACGGTCAGATTTAGATACAAAAAAAAACATTGCCAGATATGGACTCCATCCTCGCCCTGAAAGCGTTCGACATCTAATACTGGATTTCCTTATCGCCCTTTCAAAAAGTCAATGAACCTTCCGGAAGTGATTTTAAATAGTTTTTTGTGTGTTTTGTAATGCAGTTTTGAACAAACTGCTCTGTTTTTTCCAACAATTGCCACTTAAGGTCTAATTTGAAAGTCTGCTCTGTACGCTAAGTGCTCTTTGTTATTCGTTTGTGATCTTTTTATCTTTCAAACGTTTTTTTTAGTTGCCTGTATTACAATTCATTTTACTTTGCTATTTGTTTGTTTATTATCTTGAGTCTCTTTTCGGCTCTGAACTACACAATCTATTTATCCTTTGTTTAAGTGAAATGGTAGCTTTCAGGTCTTTCAATCCACTTGTTTGCTTTGGGTTTTTCCAGCAATTGAATCCAACTATGCAGCAATGGCCGCTTCAGGTTTTGATCTCAAATTAAAATATTACTGAATTGGGCAAGTTCCTGCTCTACTGCTTTGCAACAGTGGTATTCTCAGGCTTTGTGCTTATTTCAACATATTTTTGGGACAAAATCCTTCTTACAAAGATGCAACAGGGGACGCTTCATGCTGTGTGCATGAATTGAAATATTTTTGGGCGATTTTCCTTGTCTTGATTAGAGCTTTGAAGTTTGTATACCGTTGAAGTTTGAACAGAGCGAACGGTTGAGACTCAGTCGCAAAGATTGAAGTGACTCTATATAATCATGTTTTTTTTTTGAAATACACCTCGATAAGTATTTTTGAAGGAAGCTATTAATTTAAAAGTGGGGCGCAGCCAACGATATTCACAATCAAATTCTATTATCATTTCAAAAAATAGGTCGGTAGTTTCCGAAAAAAAAAACAAAAAAATGGAAAGTTTATTGTGTAGTCAAATGACTCATACTCACTTTCTTCATCTTCACACGGTTCATGAGTGTGTTGATATTCTGATTGAGTTGCATGATCGAATAGACAGCTGAAATAATACATAGAACAACGAAGCCAAGAGTCAGGATTACAGATAGGGTCAGAAGACATGCTCGGATATGGGGGCGGTTGCGGCTGGGTTTGCGGGGACCCCCAAAAGACATGACTCAGTTTTGAAGATAGTTGTAGAAAATTTTCGCGTAGTGTTGATTTATTTAAGTGATTGATTTAATTATTCATACAACTACATCAAGTGTATGCGTTTCAGTTGGCAGGCAAAATTATATGATTAGTTCTCATCGCTCGTCAAATGATTATTGCTGTTCGAATTCCACTCGTTGACCATTTTCTGAAAACTCGCCCAACGAAACCAAGTACTCTCAAGTAAATCTGCTTGGTAGAAGTCTTAGTTTCACTTATTTTAGAAATTACTCTAAATAATCGTTTTGGTGGTTTAAATTTTTCATTATTTTTTATTAAAGCGTGCTCACGCTTGATGAATTAGAAATATAAATAAATCTAAAACAGGGATACTTCAGTCAAAAAATCACCTGCAGTAGCTCTGCTGCAACATGAAACCGATCTTACTTTACTGTAAACTTCCTTCCGTGTAGTTTTGCGCGGATGTTTGTCAAACTGCCTTCTAGATAGTGTACACTGAATGTGAGGGATTGCACCTTGCCAGAATTGAATTGAAATCATTAGGAAATATTAGCAGTTTTTTTCTAGACATCTGCATATCTGAATACTTCCAGCTGAAATAACGAATGCAAAGCAAACTTTCTATTAGCAAAAATAGCGACTAAAAATCAGACTGAAAATATCAAAATAAATGGACTCAGATAACTTTTCATACTATTACTTCGGAATCCAAATCACAGCGAAGATGGCTTTTATATGATACTACGTTTGAGAACAACAAAATTCTGCAGTAACTAAGAACTACGCAGCAAAAATCCATCCAACGCAACTGTTCATTTCAATCTTTTGAAATTGTTCGAAACAAAAACATTTGAAACTTGTTGTTTCGACTTTCGATACGAAAGTAACGGAATATTTGTGCTCGGGGTTGGTTTATTTTCTTCAGACAAATTTTCACTTTTTAACTAGCCATTTTTGACGGAATTTTTTTTTACATCATTCAAAAGTTATTGTTGTCTTGAGCTTAAACTTGAAAAGATATTTCACCTGTGAGCATTTTTCGTAAAGTTGTGGGGGTTTAAAGATTGCCAATTTGTCTTAGAAATCGTTCAAATTGGTTGAAAGAAGCTTATTTGCCATAATTGTTTTGTTACAATATCGAAATCTATTCTTTTGTACTTTATATGGCGTGTGGGGAGATGATTTCATAAAAAAAAAACATTCAAATTTTAGAGTTTTTTTTTTCATTTTATTTTGTTACTTTTATTTTTTTAATGTTTCTACTGCTCCATAAACCTTAAGAGGCAGTCGGAACACTCAAGGCTTCGCCCTGATACGAGTAGTCTTGTTCATATTCACAGTAATATCAAATTTTGATATCATTCCGCCAGGCGTAAAATTAAGAGGCGTTTGTTTAAGACCAATTTTCCAAACAAAATCCGCAAAACGAAAATGCTGGAAACGAGGGGCATATCTAGGATTTTCACGGGGGGGGGGGGGGGGGGGGGTGGTGGATTTTCATAAAAAATTTTTCAACTTTTTTTAGGTCGATCAAATTATTTTTTCGAGCTCTCCTAAATCACTAAAAAGACCCTGTTTTCACCAAAACTTTTACGCCGCAGGCAGAAAAATTTTGAAGAAACGATCAAATTGAAATTTGCCACAACTATTTGCGTCTTTTACACTTTTCTTATTTGCGAGACTAATCTGTTTCTTTTTAGAAAAAGTTTTTGAATTAAACTTGAAAAAAATCAATTATTAAACCACGAAAGGGTAAATTTGAGCCTGAACGGATCGATTAAGCAATGTCTCCCCACCATTCTTGCGCAGCAGGAGAAGAGAACTCAATATATATTTGAGATGATTACAAGCAATCGAAGATGGTTTAGATGATATGAAACCATGAGCCAGATTCTCCAATGAAAGTGAAACATTAAAAATCACAATATCAAATCACAAAGATTATTTCAAGTTTTTGACTAAAACCAGAGTATTTTGATTATTTTTGAGAACAAACTTTTTTCTTAATAAATTCGGGCCAAACGACTTTTTTTAACCACGAACTTTTTTTTCGACTAAATTAACCACGAACTTTTTTTTCGACTAAATTAATGCCAGATTTCCAAGGGTTATTTTCGAGAAAAGTTCAAATGTTTCAAAATAAGACCAAAGTATCAAGAAATGGATTTTTTGATTTACTCAATGTTTTCTACAAAAATTAGGACCTAGCCGTTCAAAAGCCAAGTAATTTTGAAAGAAAGACCAAAATTTTTGGCAAAAAAGCAAAAGTTTACCAAATCGTCTCAAAAAGTAATTGAAATAGAAACAAAACCAGATCACAAATGGTTTCGTAATACCTTAATTTATCACAATAATGAACAGATACTATATAAAGGCCTATGGATGAAAATATAGCAAAAGTGTCACAGATAAAGCGATTTATTTGCTAATAGGTCGGAAAAAATATGCATTCTAAAACCAGAGTACGCTCTGCTTGTGTAAAAAAATAACCAAATTAGAAATAACTTGCATTAAACTTGCATAACTACTTTGGAGCCCACTGACTTTGCAACCCAAGTAAAACGCCCCAAAAAGTCATGCAAAGAAGAAAAGATGGATAGCGCAATTCTGCTGTGTTTTCAGAACGCATTGCAAATCGCAGACATAAAACTGAAAAACTTGCAAAAAATTCTCAAAAAGGATAACAGATCATTAATTGTAACCAAGTGGTTAGCAGGAAAAACTTGACTGTGTTTTAAAATATTATCGGAGTCCGGAAGCAGCAAAACATAGCTTTGTGTAAACCGAAAATTACTGCAGCTGGGAATGGTTAGTTTGATAACTCACAACTACCTAACCTTTTTAAACTGTAGTCAACCAGTAGCGAGCCACTTCCAATTCTATTTGGGTTGCAAACATTTTTAAAGGTGTTTAGTGATTTTATATTACATCGGTGGTTGGTCGATCAACCCTAGGCCGCCCATATACAAAAACGTGTGGATTTGATTCACGAATTTGCACTTTTCTAGGTTGTTTTTGTTTGGTTAGAAAAAAAAAACAACCCCAAAAAGATGCTCAATGTTTTCGAGCGTGTCTTGATAATTGAATTCATAACAAAAATGCCCCGAGACTGTCCAAAAATTCTCCTGCTAATTGCAACTCTGTGTTTTACGTCAGGGAGTGAGGCCCTTAGTTCATACATATACGTGTTGTTAAAGTTGAATCTTGTTCAAGATGGTGAAGTGGTTGTTGGTTGTCAGGGCCGATACCTGCCAACCGAGTGAGCCTTTGTAATCGACTGAATTCCACACCCTTGATATTGCTGAAAAACTGCAGTTCGTGTTTTTTAAACTTTTACCAGATAACTAATTCAACATCAACTTTTATTGTTTTAATCTCAAAATTTCTTTCAGATTTTCTGTCGGTTGGTAGTTTTCTTTGAGACAGCAAGCAGTTCGGTCTACGAGGACTGATTAGATATAATTTCTTAGAGGTACCAGTTATCGATCCTAAACCACCTTTGAAACATTTATTCCCCTGGGAGTCGTGGATCGGGTATTTCTTTTCAGCAGTGAACTTGAGGAGCATTGAAATGCAAACGTACTTATGAGTGATCCAGTACTGGTGATTGACGGCCCACCAATACTTTTAGAAACAAAAAAGGATTCTAAAATCGCTAACGAAGAAACAAATCGCATCGCACGGGACAAGACCGAAATCAGAACATTCAAAAACTCAACGATTAAAGAAGATAGGCCCAAAAAGCGGACGAAAAGGGATATTTAACCTATTTATAAGGAATAACCTAATAGAGAATAGATTCGAGGTTCATACCGACCACAAAGCGATTAGTCTGGCCGTCCAAACTAACAGAGGCCTTAAATGATAACATTACTACCTAACTAGATGGGCTGACAGACTGCTCCTAGTTAACTTTGAAAAAATAGTTAACACTGGAACAAAATTAGATTACAGTGGACTAAATATTGCGTCACGCAACATTCGATGAACCCATCTATCAAACTTTGATGATTTTTTTTGTGGCATCATCAATAAAAATTGTTTTTTTTTTTCAGCTTGTTTGACATTCGCTCAACTGAATGAAAACAAGGGAACATCCTCCGACCCTATTCCCACTTCAAATTCAATTGGTAGTATTTTTTGGCAAATCAGTCATTTGGTCACACAACCAAAAAAGGACACTAAATTTATCGGAGATTTCTAACCGATCAAAATCGACTTCACATTATGAACGCATGCCGCGATGAAACGCTGATAATTTATGCGCAAGTTGCACTCAGTCAGATCCGAGAGCACATTATGGATGAGTGCCACGAGAAGGCGTCAATAACTTATGAACAAATTCCAGCCATAAAAAAAGCAAACTTTATAGATTCATGCCGCAAGAGGGCGCAGTTGATCGATTTGCAATACCCAAAAAATATATATTTTTCTTTCTAAGCTCTGCGGCACACTTTCAGATCATTTTTCGAAGCACTGTCACATAGCATGGTGCATAACATGCTGCTGTGCATAACCGCAAGAAGGCGATATATTTCAGAGACTCCTAATTGAATTTGCTCTATACTAAAATCCACAACACGCTCAACCAGACCATATTTGAGACAAGGAGCTAAATAGTGCAGAAATTGTCGTTTGAAAGCTGGATCGAAAGAAAGATGCGACGATCTCAAAGAAAAGAAGAATCACAATCAAGGGCAAACGGAGCATCTCAACAAAATTACTCTCCGAAAGAAAGCTCTGGCTGACAAAAAAAATTTCTCCCTTGCCTGATTGAAATTCTGAAATGAGTGACCAGAATGTCTCTTTTCGAGCAAAGTTTCGAGCAAAAAATACTAGATGGTCGCTAACGACCTAGAAACTTAGATCAAAAAATTATTTAAGTAAACAGCACTTCGAAATTGTTTAAGTGTTATGACAGTAAAGGATCGGAGAAATACTTGCGACAGCAGGTCGAGAGTAAAAGTCATAAAAAAGGGACGCAAGAGCCAAGACGTCTGGCGAGTTGACAGCTCGAAAAACTGAACGCCAGATGAGACCAGTGAAAAAGGGTGGTAACGATTCCTCCTCATCTAGGACTTCAGCTAGCAGCAAAAGCAAAAGCATGAATTTGAGTCTCTCTGTCCATAACAAAATAATTGCAGCAAACCTATTCAGCCAATTTTTTTGAATAATCCCAAATTATTTAGCCAACCAGAAAACCGATTTTAGATTAAAGAATGAGAAATCCTTCAATTTATTTTGAACTTCCAGAAAATTTGAGTTGCAGAAAATTACACGGAGTGACAATCTTTTCCTTCATTTTGAGTCTGAACCGGATGAT